AAACTGGTTATAATTATATTCAAACAGGCACCCTCCACTGTTGCCATACTTACGGGTGCCATATTGAAGATATACAATTTAATATAATTTTATTTAGTAATATTCATATCTGAAAAATGTTGATTACCTAAAACAAATATGGTGAAATACTCTATTTTATATTATTCTGCATCATAATTCGAAAATTATAATAATATTAGCTTTATTGAGATAAAGATAGAGTGCGTAAAATAAATAAATAAGTTTTATAATGCAACTCCATTAAAAATTCGATTTTAGGCGCGCAAATGGAAGAAATTAAAGTTAGAATTTTTTTTAAAGATGTCAGGAATAATTACCATTAATATTTTTGTATTTGTCTTTTAAGAATTTAAAAATCTCTCACTACAACGCGGTACTGCGGGAGCGGCGGTACGAACAAAATTTTTGTTTATTAATTGTAAATTCACATTAATGTGAGAGCGAAAAATTTGACTTTTTTTATTTAATAAGTACCTACCAAAATATGTTTACCAAAGGTAGTAAAATTTAGATTCATGCACCACAGTGCCTGTCATTTATAAGTGCTTGAGAATTTTTATTACTTTTTTTCGTGTAAGTACATGTAAAAAAAATTAAATCAAAAATAAACTTACATTCATTATTTAAATTTTTTATTAAATTAATTTCAAGAATATTTTTTAATTATTTTTTGTACATGTACTTATAGTTTTTTAATGTTCCAAAATAAATCCTTGTAAGCAGCAAGTTATGTTGTACAATATTTCCTTTTTTGTACCAATGATCATAGAAAAATTAATATTTTAATTATTTTATTTGGGGCCCAACAAAATTATCTCATTATTATTATTAAAATAAAGATAAAAATAACTACTCAAAAGAAGTTGGGTAAGTTGGGTAAAGTTACAACATACAAAAAGTGTCTGCATGTTCTAGCAATAAGTTTGTCATATTGTCCATAAAGAATAAACCAGTTCATCGAAACTTTATTTGAATAGTGATTTTTCTTCATTTTAACTATTTTATTAACAATTTTTATTAAATTAATGAATTTCTAACTATATTAGTACATAATAATATACCTTTTAATGAAGGTACCGGACGTTCAATTAAACCGTTTATACACATACTTATCGACATATTTACTTTAGACCGAAAAAAAATATATTAATTTATTATTTTCTTGTCATATGAAAACATACAGTTATTAAAACTTATTCGTAGATTTCACTTGTATTGTTTAATAATTTAAAATTAATATTTAAAAATTTGAAATAATAAATAATAGGAATTGTAAAATATCTTTGTTATTATTAACTTTAGGGAATGGTTATATCAATGAAAAGGTATTATAATTTCATATTTCATTATGTAAAAATATACAGGGCGTTCCGCTAAAAATTAAAAACTTATTGCTATTTTAAGTTATCTACATTCACATTGCTTTTTATCAAGTATCTTTTAAGAAATATTACAATAAATACAACCGAATATCATCAAACCTAATATTAAAAAAAATATAAGATTTTTTTGTTGAGGGTGAAACTGACCGAATTTTACGAAAAAAATTAATAACTCAATAACTATTAAGTTTTGGTTTAGAACATGATATAGGTAGTCATTTTATAAGGAATAATATTAAGAAATAAAAAATGTAAAAAAATTGTGATGATTCATTTAAAATAACAAAGTTGATATCGCTTCCGTTAAAACCGGAAGTGGAATTTTGTTCCAAATAACTTAGAAAAATAGTTTTAATGATAATATTATTATAATTGCTTTAAAAAATTTAATTTGATATCTTTTTCCGTTTTCCATAAACATGTAACATACCATCGACCCTGATACACCCTGTATAATATTTTAATTCCCTTTCTAACTAAAAAATGAAAAAACATCAACAGTATTTTTTTATACTAACGTCAGTAGGCCAGTTATGTTTTGCATTTAGGTAATTTAAACTGTTACGAATCATACCAAAAGTTTTGGTAATTTTGGGGCCGAGCGGTGGCCGAATGTTTGGTGCTCATAAGTTTAATTTTTAAAACAAAAAGTAACTTACTTTGATAAAGAGAAAGAACAAAATATTTTTTAATGTTTTTTAGATGCAGGTTTAAAAAATGTTTACGATTTTTCCTCATCGGAAGAATCTGATCCTTACAAAACAGATGGAAGCGAAGATGAATACATACCATCTAGCGAAAATAGTAGTGAATATGTATGTAATTTTATTTTAAATCTGCTGCCTTAATTTTATATTCCTAAACAAGTGCAGAAGGAGTTTTTTTACGAATGTGAAGACAAGCCATAGGCGAGTTTTGCAATAACATAACTAAAAAAACCCCTCTGCACAATTTAAAGAAAAATATAGACTTTTTTCATTGAGAAAAACGACGATGAAGCCATGGAGAAAATATCATAATAGGTTCAGCTATGGAAACTTGCTGAGAAATACTGTCCTAAAATAATCATTTGTAATTTTATTATATAATGGTAATTTGTAAATTTTAACACAATGTAAAAGCCTTCTGCTAAATTTTTTAACTTCTTCACTTTATTTTAAAATATATATACAGTGTGTCCCGCTTAAGACCTTACCACCTTCGTAAAATTTGTATTTTTTAACCGATTTTTGTAAACTTTTTTTGTTGGATAGATCTCTGGAAAAGGATTTAAACGCATATGTCACTGGTTTTAAAGACTAAACTGTGATCTATTTTTTAGTACTACCTACTAGGGATTTTTTAGAGCAAAAGTTACAACGAATTTTTATTCGGGACCACTAAAAACCGAAATTTCGACCCAAAACAGACATCACAGTTGGCGATGAGTTTTGTCGTCAAAACAAGAGGATGGTAGGTTTTAAGTGGGACACTGTGTATATATTTATAGAAATACTAATAAATGGACTTACGCTAAATTTTTACGATTTAAAAATGCCTATTTTTTTTGTGATATAAGAAAAAAGTTTTTCCTAAAACCATGAAAAAAATAACATCTATGTGAAAACAAAATTTCGATTGCGTTAACCGTACACCAAATTCGAATGCATACCACTTTCCTGCAAAGAATAAAACAATTTCCATTTTCCACCATCAAAGATGAAATAGATTGAAGTCCCTAGAAATACAAATAACAAAAAACGTTTAAACATCCGAAAGCAAGTGATTTTGATATAAATTTAAAACGAGAATGCAAATCAGCCTTATCGAAATCATATTCTTAATATTTCTTGTGTAAATTATTATTATATCTAACAAATTCTCCAAAAAAGTAATGATTTGTTATGTTTATTATACTTAATAAACCTAATACATCATCACTTATTTTGAAGACTATATAATTATACGATCTTAGAATAAAGAATGAACCAAAACAATATTTAAAATCAAAATTCCCGCCAGCCGCTTCTCGCTGCCCTCCGGACACGGCCGAATACTTCCGAGGTTTCCGTGATAATTGTTGTCGTCTGTTACACACGAGGTTTTAAAGTTTCTTCCACTGTTGCCAAATTTAGGGTGCCATAATGTAAAGGCATATTATGGGTGCCAAAAGTTTAACAATTATAATGAGTGTATAAAATATATACATCTGTATAAAAAAGAGCGCCATCTATAATAAACTTCGCAAACTAAACTGTATATCCGGGAGTAATCTTTGTCAAAGTGGCACCCTTCAAATTTTTTGTTATATGGTTTAGAAGGACCCTACTTTCATTGGAAAAATTTTTGAAGGCAAAACAAAGTGGCACCCGAAACCGGGTGCCACATTGTAAAATTGGGAGTCACATTGACAATGTTTATACCATATGGGTGCCTAAATGACACTGTCTATCTATATATATATAATATATATATATATATATATATATATATATATATATTGGAGAGTTTAATTATGGCCCAAACAGCGCCTCATAAAGAACTATTAATGTCAATTTTTGAAGATATTTCGTTAATATAAGTTTGGTTACAAGTTGAATTTGTATCTGATAAATTGTTAAAAAAGTCCCAATTAGTATTATGCAAGGCAGTGTAAAGACCAGCAAAGTTGACTCTTTTAAAGTTATATTTTTTGCTTATTGAATTTGGTAAGCAATTTACAAACTCTGAGGCTGTTAATTTAAAGTTAATGTTAATAGCAGGTAAGAGTCCAGCTCAACAAAAGGTAGCATCTCAAGAATAACCTCACATTCCAACTTATTTTGAAAGTTTAATACACTGTTTCTTTGTTGTAAGTTTGTAATATTTAAAAAATCATAAATGGTTCTAGTTTTGAAATCAGACAAATGACGAATACAAAATTTGTTAATGTTAAAATCTCCTATAACAATCACATTATCTTGTTGTAATAAAGATCCTTCAAAAGCTTCAAAAAAAAATTGTAATTCGCGACCTGATATGTGAGGAGGTATGTAAATAATATAAACAAACAAAGGCGTGGGTTTCATAAAGACTTTACAGCCAACTAAATCAATAAATGGAAAATTATTTTGTTAATCATGTAAGGTAATTTGAGAAACATCATATTTTGTGTAAATTGCCAATAAAGCCCCTCCACCCCGGCTTGTATTTGTTGCTGAATAATTACGATCGTCTCTAAAAACTAGATAATTACTGTGAAAAAGTTCTGAACTATTTACATCATTATGCAGCCAAGTTTCTGCTAAAGCTATAAAATCAAAATTATTAGAGACAGTAGAAGTAAAAACGTTTTCAATTTTAGAATTTAATCCCCTAACATTTTGAAAATACATACAAAAAGAACTTTTACTCATTTCGTTGGGCGCAATTAGTTTAAATTAACAATTTTTGGTATACCATTCACATATTTAATTCGTAAATCAGTTTCTCCTCTCGCTGATCTTCTCTCCAGATCACTTTTATCCAAGCGATAGTACTCTATCTGCTTGGGGGTTCGATCTGATCAAGCCAAATACTTCAAATTCTTTATTTAATCTTATTTTTATTGGCCTAGGTCTGTTTTTAGTAGCATCATACTTATTGGATTTATTTCACTTAACTCTATTGCGGGCAAAATATAACCCCTGGCGTTGCTTGCTACAGTTTTATTTTCCCGTTTTCTACCATTAATGTCCGTTAATGTTAGTTCTGGCATCCCAAATATGACAATATTTTTTTTTCCTGTTGGCCCTTTCGGTAGCCTTCGGTAACCTTTAATTTGCTCATTTTTTCCTAATTCCTCTACTTTGCTCTTTAGGGACTCTACTTCACTCTTTAGAGCATTAATAACATTTTTTAGCTCATTAATAATTTCCGTGAGGTTGGTGCAGCTTTGACATGACTGAGCAGCTTTTGGAGGCATATTTACCACTTAATAATAGTTTGTAATTGGAAGTAGGTAAAATTGCTCAACATGACAACGCCGCGCAGATGACAAACCAATATTGTAGCCGTATACCTGATAAACTTTAAACAAAGATTCACACAGTTTCCATTGTTTGATTATATTGTAGGAGTAGTATCGGCACAAATTATTTTACTTAGGGCCCCTAAAAATGTAAACCGGCCTTGACCTATATATTTTTTTAAATAATTATACTTGATATTGACATATTGACATATTATGCAAATAAACCAAATACCAACATATGAATATGAATAATACGACATTTAGCGAAATATGACCACTTGTGACGTAAAAATGTGACGTCTGAAATTCTTTAATTTTTTGTTTTTTCAAGAATAATTTGGTTTATTCAATTTCTCCAAAATTAAATATTTTTGTAAATAAAATACTGTTTTTTTAAATTTGTGACGAGACAGGTTCGTGCTGCTGTGACCATTTTTGACAAGGGGGAGGAGGGTCAAAATCCCCTAAAAAAACGTAACGTTACCAAAAAGTTCAGGATAAATGAATTAAAAATTATATACAGGGTGCATTTTAATAATTTTGTATGTGAAGATTATAAAATTTGTTGATTTATTTATTTTATTTGTTTTTTTAATTTTGTTTATTGTTTAATTTCACTTTGCATACCTTACATCCGTCATTTTATTTTTTTAATGTGTTTGGCTGTTTGAAAAATATTTTCATATTCTACGAAAAAAATGACAAAAATAATTGAAGCGATGAAAATCAAAACCAGATATGCACCATATTTTTTAAACTTTCATGGTCAACCGTTTGTAGAAAATTACATGAATATAGCCTGCATAAGTTTACGAGAATAATGCTGTTTGGTTTGCGTTTTTATTTTTAATTTCACCAAAAAAATTGCTTTCGTGTAAAAAATTTCAGATTTAATGAATCACGCAACGTACATAAACTGAAAGCACGTTACCTACCTTAAAACTCTGTGTTGATAACTAATAGATACCTTCCGTAGTTTGCTCATTTTTGTGACTTAAGAGGAGAATAACGTGAATTTTCGAAAAATTGCCATATAATCGTAGTTAGCCAAGATATCCACAAAATTTCGAAAACGTTCCGAGGGATTATCTAACTGTTATTAGGGAGGGGTATTAGGACTATCAAGCTTAACTGCCCCGTGAATGGTGATTTGGAATTTTGGAAAAAAACATCCCTTTTATTAACACCCTGTAGTAGCATGCTATGTGCACAATATTGTATTCCCAAACTTAGACATAAGGGACAAAGAATCAACTATTGCTCATTATTTGGACTAAAATGGAGAATAACGACAATTTTCAAAAAATTGCCATATAATCGTAGTTAGCCAAGATATTCCCAAAATCTCGAAAACGTCCCGAGGGATTACCTAACTGTTATTAGGGAGGGGTATTACGACTATCAAGCTCAACTGCCCTGTGAATGGGGATTTGGAATTTTGGAAAAAAACATCTCTTTTTTTAACACCCTGTAGTATGTAGCTAAGTGCACAATATCGTATTCCCAAAATTAGACATAAGAGTCAAAGAATCAACTATTGCTCATTTTTTGGACTAAAATGGAGAATAACGACAAATTTTGAAAAATTGCCAGATAATCGTAGTTAGCCAAGATATCCACAAAATCTCGAAAACGTCCCGAGGGATTACCTAACTGTTACTAGGGAGGGGTATTACAACTATCAAGCACAACTGCCCTGTGAATGGGGATTTGGAATTTAAAAAAAAAACATCTCTTTTTTTAACACCCTGTAGTATAATGTTATGTACACAATATCGTATTCCCAAAATTAGACGTAAGTCAAAGAATCCACTATTGCTCATTTTTTGGACTAAACTGGGGAATAAGGACAATTTTCAAAAAATTGGCATATAATCGTAGTTAGCCAAGATATCCACAAAATCTCGAAAACGTTCCGAGGGATTACCCAACTTATATCAGGGAGGGGTATTACGACTATCAAAGTCGACTGCCCTATGAATGGGAATAACTTGAAATTTCGAAAAAAATGCATCTCTTCGTTTAACACCCTGTAGTATAATGCTATGTGCAAAATATCGTATTCCCAAAATTAGACATAAGAGTCAAAGAATCAGCTATTCAGAATTTTCAAAGATTTTCAAAATCGATTCAGTAATTTTCCAATAACGAGCTTTCAAATATTTTCCAAAAAACAAGGTGCGTCGTTTTTTATGACGAGCAGTTTAGTTCGGACATCCTAGGCATGCGCATTTTAATATTTGTCATGCACACTTTACAATTTGAACGCCAAATTTTAAAAAGCGCATGCCTAGGATGTCCAGAATTAGTTCGGAATTAGCTCCGCGAAAATAGCTAATATTTAATTTTAATAATTATTAAATGATTTACTTTCTTTAAATAGAGAAAAATATCTAAAGAAAATGATGAACAAATCATTTTTACAATTTTTTTATTATTCAAACGAATTACTGGTAATTTTTAATGTTCATTATGTTATGATGAACGTCCAAAAAGGCGTGTAATCTATACTTCTGACAACGTTGGAAGCCGTGTTTCTTTCGACGGTGTTTAGAATGTGAAACTATGCTTTACTTGCTTTTTAAACGTAAACAAATCCGTCTATTTGTTTTGGTGGTCTGTGGCTACACTCATCAGGTATATAGAACGCCGTAAATAGTCAAATTAGTAGATTAAAAATTAAAAAAGTTCTAACCCAGCCGGAGTTTGAACTCGGGTCTGTCGCTTGTCAAGTGGATATCATAACCAATGAGCCATCAGTTACTTTTATAAAAACAGTTTTATCTGTCTATAAATATTGTTAATAATATTTTAAAGTTGAATATATTTTTTGTGTTGCTGTTTTAAGCTAAACTTTTTACATCTTTGTTTGTTTTTAATGGTCATTTAACCATGGCGCCAATATGCATTTAACTCAAATAATAATTTGTTGTTGGCCGCAAACGATTAAAGAAATTAGTTACCTACTTTTAACTTTCAGAAATTGTCAAAGATGGTGACTTATATTAAATGTCAAACTTTAACTATTTAAGTAGTAAAAAATAACTATTTAAAAGTGAAAACGACTATTCTAGTACTAAAAAATGCTGGTACTAATTCAAATAGTAGAATTCATTTTAAGAGAATAGATAATGTAAGTATACAATAACTGTTTTTGTATATATTCAGAAGCGGATAAACTTACGTACCTTCTTACTGGTAGATGTTTACATTGACGCCATAGAAGTATACATAAACTAAAACTAAAAAACCCAACTCACAAAACCAACCAATGGTAAACGTAAGCATTTACTATTAAAAGTACACTTTAACTGTGACATTATATGATGGATGAATGTATGATTCTCAAAAACAATTTCTGCGATTATCAAAACGGGTCGGCCCATTTATAATAGATTCGAGCCCAGAATCATATCATTTGGTCCAGACAATATTTTATTTTTTACTTTATTTCAAAAAGTATTGGTAAACGCTAAAAAAATCTATTGAATCCAACTATCATTACAATAATAGTTGGATTCAATAGATATTTCTTTTGTGTAAAAAATTTCTGCGATTATCAAAACGGGTCAGCCCATTTATAAAAGATAATATCTTGAGATGGTTGGACTACCCCTGAAAGTATAAAACCCCTAATACAATTTTAAATTTTAAGATAATATTTTATTCTGTTTTCGTAAATAAGTCAACTAAGAAAATACCAAGAAAATGTTGCGTAATGTTGTATTAATGCAAGACAGTTTTATATGAATTCTCGATTGTCAGAGCCGGCCCGAGGTTTTTTGCCTCTCTGGGCAAAAAACACTTGCTGCCCCTTTTTTATTCAGCAGACAAAAAATTCTCTTGTCAATAGTCAATTATTAAAATTATGTCTACTTTTATAAAATATTGCTTATATTTTTTTATTTAATGTATAGCCTAGGTAATAAAAGAAGAATATATTTAACAATTTTGATGCCAAAATACTATATAATAAATTACCTACAATATTTTTTATAAAAACAGTACTTGCATATGTAATAAGCTGTTATCCGACAGACTTGCAAAATAACTAGCGTCATGTGTAACGTATTGTTATCTATAGTTTCTTGTAATTACAAGAAACTGAGAAATAATGTTATAGCTGCAAGAAGACAAGATGTTATAAGGCGCCCTGAAAAATAAAAACTTTGATGTAGCTTACCGTTGTATTTTTTATTTTGATAACTGTTCTATGTTTGTTTTAAATAAATTACTATTTTAATAGCAGTTTCATGTTTGTTTTAAATAAATTACTATTTTAAGAGCATACAGAAAAAATAATCATTTACATTAAATAACCAACATTTTTATGGTTTTATACTTATACGCAAAAATATTATACTCTTAATTCAAATCAAATATAAGTTTACATGTGTTTATTTAAATTAAATCTATTATGTTTTGTTGAAAACTTCTTTTTTAAATAAATTTATTAATTTATTTTAAGTAAACTTTAATATTAAAAAGAGAATAATTTCTATATTTAAATACAAGAACATTTAATTGAAGTAATTATTCTTAATAAATTATTTAAACTATTTTTTTTATAAAATTAAACTTAACAAAATTATTATTTAATTTTCCATATTATAAAAATTAGACTGTACCTACTTATTTCAAATATACAAATCCAAAACAATCGTTATTTTAAAATTAAATAATTATTTTTTGTGAGCAGTTCTGTTTGTTTTAAATAAATTACTATTTTAATAGCAGTTCTCTGTTTGTTTTCAATAAATTACTTAGTACATATTGTTCTGTTGATTTTGATAAAATATGTACTCATGCATTGTCCACTGCTTAATTAAAAAATACTCCTTAAAAGCAATAATAATCCATAACTTTGGTTGCAAAGCAATGTAATACAATAGGCGCACGTTGATCACATCGGCCTCCTGACGTCACAGTTTCAATGCAGGAGTGGGGGCTAC